TTCTAAGTCCTTGCTCTATATGAGTAAATTATTTGTGAAATGAGCACAGAGCTGCCTCTGATGTCATAAATAACAAGCGGTAAAAATTAACTCTGAGCTTTAAAAGGAAGTTTCCAGTCGAGCCCCCGTCCCTGAGATTCAGTTCCACTGAGATCTGCCTTAAAGGAGCCAGACGCAACGTGGTTCTTCTTCTCTGTCTTCAGGTACTACGCGGACATCCGGCAGACCATCTCCGCCAGTGACCAGGAGATGAACTCGGCTCTGGCAGAACTGTCCCGCGTATGTCGTTTTCCGTCCGCCGTCAGACAGACGATTGAGCCAAATGCAGAGAGTCTGGCTGGACTGCTGTCGTTTTCACCTCTCCCTTTATTTCTCTTTCTTCCGAAACAGAACTACGCAGCTGAGGTCAACTGCCTCGTGGCTTTGCACGAGCTGTACAAGTACATCAACAAATACTACGATCAGGTAAGTGTCAGGCGTGCCGTCTGTTCACGCTGATGAGCAGCAGAGGGCGACAGCGCACTCAAGAAGTCATCTTCCAGAAACATTCCCCCAGTTTTCTCCTGTTGAAACGCACTTTTGTTCCATTTCTTTTGAGTTTGTGGATAAAAACTGCTGCTGAACGTGAGATGGATCCGAGAATTTAACCCCCTGGTTATCCAACTTTTGTGCTTTCATGAAAACACTGAAATCAGTCAGAAAAATGTGTTTCTGAAAATATTAATGCTTGAATGAGTGACTGAACTTTGTTTTTCTTCTTTAAACTCTGCTAAGTCTGTTTAAAGAAAAATAAAAAGAAGCTGAAGTCACTTTTTTGCTTTTAAATTGCAGCTAATGGTCGCTGCTACTTTTTGTCACTCTTTCAGTGAAGTCCTTTTATCTGAGCTTCCAATAGTCATTTTTTCATTTTGTTTAAAGTCATTATTGATTGGGGTCTTATCAGTCTAAAACAAAGGTTGGAAGTCCTCTGTTTTAAAACGGTCATGGTGCCTTAGTGTCTCCTTCTAAAGGCGGAAATGCCCTCAGAAATGCTCCTCTCCCTCTGGCTGCAGCCCTGCGTGGTTTAGCTGATCTCATCCTGCCCTCTCCTCTCTGTCAGATCATCACCGCTCTGGAGGAGGACTCCACGGCCCAGAAGATGCAGCTGGGTTACAGGCTCCAGCAGATCGCCGCCGCCGTGGAGAACAAGGTGACGGACCTATGACCCCCAAGCCGGGAGGGATTTTCCATTTGCCTTCGGGGAGAAGAGAGCCCGTCTGTCGTGGAGGGAAAACTCAAAGGAATAATGTGACTCACTGTGATTTTGGCCCGGTTCGACTGGAGGGACTCTGAGAGTCTCCTGTTCCTCAGACTGGGATGAAAGGGACGTCTCGCCTCTGAGGAGAAAACGCTGATCAGTTTTCAAACAAAAAGCACATTTAAAGACAAGTGCGGCTCTCTGGATTCCTCACGTTTGACTCCACAAAAGGGAGAGGCCATGTGAAAAGAGAGGGTCTGGTTTGGCCTCTTGTTGGACGTTCAGTTTGGAGGTCCGTCTGTGGCTGCTCCGTGTGGCCGGGGCTGGAAAAGGAGGACCCAGCCCTCCATGCTCCCCCAGTCTTATGAACCTGAAGGGCCTTTTCGTTCTACTTGTAGCTTCCTTGAACCTTCTTCTCAAGTCTTACTCTTTATTTTCCTGAGCTCGCTCTGGTGCCAGTGGAGACTTTTTTATTAGTTTAAACTTGAAGCTTGCGGGCCTCTTGAAGGCCTCTGTGACTGTTCCACGGCAAAGGTTCGCAGTTATTAACCCTATCAGGATGTTTTTTAAGCATTACAGGAATGAATTTGTCAAATAGGTTCCAGGATGAGGTAAAAATGGATCCGTCCTTGTCTCCAAATGATCAAAATTGAGGTTAATTTACAGAATCAATGAAAGGCCAAGCCGAGCAGCGGCAAACGAAGGCTCAGATACCAGAAATAATGCACCGATTAGTTTAAAAGCCGAGAAAAAGCGTAGGAAATAAATGTAGGAACGTGCTTCACCTCCGGATTTAGTTTGAGTTTTAAATCCTGAGCCGGCTCTTAAATGAATAATGTGGAACTTAATCATTGTTGTTTTCTATACGTGTGCATTTCAGTTTGATCGACTGCACTTTCTGTCTGTTCTTCCTTTCCTTTTACTGTCCGATCGAGGTTTTTGGACTAGGTCGGGGCTGTTGTTGTCCTTTTTTTATTGAGCTTGCTCCTCCTGGAGGAGGTTTTATCAGCCTGTTTTTACGCTTCATTTGCATTCGTGTTGTCGGTACAGTGGACGCCATATTTCACAGCAGAGTTTTTTTCTAATTTAAAAAGGATCTTGGATCAGACGGTGTGATTTTAAAACGAGACGCCTGCTGCTCTGCCACGCCACCAGGCTTTTTATTAGCTGTTTTCCAATTTAATTTATTGTTTATTTATTTCATTGCCTTTGTTGCTGGTTTTTCCTTTGAGACATGCAGCGGTTAACATTACCCCCCCTCCCAAAGTTTGTGGGGTTTTTTTGTCATGGAAAACAACCCTGTCATTTTTCTACTTTTCAGTGTTTCTTTAAGATTATTGTAAGTAAATTCCCAATCAGCAATGTCGATTCTGATGGTTTCTGCCCATTTTTACCTTCTCTTACAAGAGTTGCGATTTATAATGTTTCAAACTCTTTAACCTGTACATAAAAAGCATCCTTCTCTCTCACATTGCATTGCTTATTGTGTATTCAAAGCTCGGTTCTGATGTTTGTTGTGTAGATGCAGGTAATCTTGACCTTAGCGATGTCTGACTAACTGATAGGATGAGCCTAACAGCAGCTTAACGTGACGCAATAAAGTATGTGACCTCATCTCTCCTGGGTTTGTTTTCCCTGAAGTGGTAATGACTTTTATCAAGGCTCGGTTTAACACAAAAACTAAGTGGCGGCGAGCAAACAGCACTAAAAATGATAAAATGGGACAAATTAAGGCAGAAGGAGCTGTAATGGGTGGAGTGTGTCACCAGAGCCGGTCCAAGCGGCTGCTGGCTGACGAATAAAAACCAGAAAAAGGCCAATTAAAAGCAATATAGTATAATTTTTTTCCACTTTTATCGCAAATGTGAGTGATTCCTGTTATCAAAAGGTTTGTTAAGTCTTGTCGGCTAATCATTCTCACTGGAAGAGTCTCACTTCTACATCCTTTTTGTTCTTCTTGCTCAACAAAAAGACAGTAATGGGCAAGAAACTGCAGGTTTCCAGTAAATTTTTGTGTTTTGGTTTATTACCTAAATATGAATATTAGCTGAAATGTGCCTTTTTTTGTTGTAAATCTGTTTCAGTGTTTTTCCACAATCTGACCCCAACAAACGGTTCCCCCGCCTGTGTGACACTTACACTCCCAGTGACGGATTAGCAACACAAACAACAATAAATCGAATAACTCACCAATAAATCAAGGTGCCTTCTGAGTTTGGCCCCAAATCTGAACTCCTGATGGAAAAAAAAACGGAGCTAAAGTTAACAATATATTTACTGTCTACCCTGATAAAGTTGGCTAACGATTCTCTGAATGAAACGATGACGCGAAGTGGTGAGAAATTCATTTACTTTGTTCACATCTGAGCTTTTCTGTGAGGAGCCTAAAGAATTTAAAGTGTTTGTGGTGATAAAATGTTCCACTCTGAAGCACTTCAAGCAGCTAAGATGCGGAACTCAGCTAAGTGATATGAATATTGATGATTTATGTAATATTAATTAGTGACACTGACATCTTTTTCAAACATGAAGTGTTTACCGTGTTAAAAGAGGCCTGCCCACAGCTCAAATACTGTATATTAATTTAGTTTGATCCCAGATTTCCACACTCTGTAGGTCAAGTTGAACTCCTCTTGGTTGTTTTTTTATTTTTATTTTTTAGGGATCTCTGCTCCATTTAGGTGTTTCATTGTGTTGTTCTTTTGGGTTTTTGGACGATCGCACTGCTTTTATCAGGTAATGTCTGCATATTAACGTAGAATAGTCCAGATTACTTTTGGTTATCAAATTTACAACTTCGTGCTATCTCTGACTCACACTGGAAAGTCCATATATGGTCATAGTGTTTCTTAAAACTAAAGAAACAAAAGCCAACATCACTTGATTTGTTTAGACATCATGTTGGGTTTTATGTAAAACCTCGCTCTTATTTGTATTGTTACCTTCTAAAATCTTGCCTCAGGATGAAAGTGGTCCCCAAAAGTAATCAGAAGATTATTTATGTCTACTGCGAGTTAGAGAACGTTATGTAATAATAGAGCACCTATTTGATGCGACGCCTTATTGTGTCTTTTTTTCTGTTCATTCATAAACCTCACAAACAAGTCAGTCCACCTTAAATGTCTGCAGAGCAGTGACTCATTCTGGGCCTGTTTGGGAGTTTTATCACCTAATAAATGAGTCACATTTTGAAGGGGATTGGGTTTTGTCACAGTGCCCGGCTGGAAATGAGCACATCTCTCCTTCAGGGGTGAGATTCAACTCCCCCACGTTTGAGTATCGGCTCCATCATCTGGTCCGGTTTGATTTCTCCATTTTCTCAGCAGACTCAGAAAGTTTTAGCCGAGCCAAACGAAATCCTAACCAGGCAACAAGAGTCCCAAGATGGCGCTCCCTGACCTTTCCTCCCTTTAAAATGCTTCTTTACGGTCAGTGAAGACCCTTCTGATCCACCACTCCTGATAAAGACTCTTCTCAGTGTATCTGGAGCCTTTAGCATAGCTTTACTCGATAAGCTGCTTCGGTTCCATCTTATTGATGAGCAGATCAAACAGGCTCTACTCTCTCTTTCCTCTTTCTCATCTCCGTTCTGTTTGGGAAAACTCCTGGCTTTAACACCTGCTTCCGTATCAGCTCGGCGGCCTTAAATTAGCAGCAGCTTCACGAACGCAGGAATGCAGGTCACGTTTCAGCTCCGGGCCTCTTTGTTTCCCCCCCCCCATCATCCTCCCCACTAACCCAGTGATCCACATCCACGCAGGTGATGCTTCCACCGGCCCTGTGGGAGGAGCCGCTCCAGCTCTGTAAAAGCCCAGAACGGTACCAGCCAGCAAGAGCTCTGGCCCAACATTACAGGGTGATGCCACACCTGCTCACCGATGCCAAACTAAAGTGGAGGAACCTGGGGGGGTAATCATAAGAGACTTCTTTGTTTTTGTAGCTACATTGCATTTTACCTCTCTGAAGAAAATACTCTAGTCTCTCTAGTCTCTAAAGAGCTTTCCAAGCGAACCTGTCCAGACGTCCCTTTGCTCTCCGATCAGGTTTGGAGCACTCTCGCAGACACTTTTGACCAGTCCACTGTTTTCTACTTCCTGCCTTTTATGTCCACCTTTCACATTTTGACAAATCTTAAAGTAAAGTTAAAACCCAGTTAAAGCTGGAGAATTTCGTACAGGCAATGCAGATTTTTATATGACCATCACAACCTTTAAGGGTAAAAGCTGTTATTTACCTTATCTCACAATGTCATAATCAGGATTGTTTTCATTGGATCTATATTTTGTGATAATTGAGTTCCGCTGAATAGGCATTCTTCTGCTTTTGCTTCAAAAGCAAACGTTTCCTGAGATGATACTCATTTCCTCTCCTTCCCACAGATCGGTCAGCAGCCGCCCGTGTTTTACCCTCCCCTTCCCTTCCCTCACCCAGAGCTCTGGCCTCGCACTCAAAGAGTTAAAGAACCCTCAAAACGGTTTTAAAATAGGAGCGCAGAGTCGGGAGTGTCGGCAGCTCGAGGCGCTGCTGCGTTGGCAGCTGGGCCGGACCGAAAGCCAAAGGCCCCCAGCTCTGACGCTTTTATATGCAGCCATAAAAAGACATGTAAGTTTAAGCAGGCTTCAAACTCCAAACGCATCCCTGCTGTAAAGGAGGAAAGATCCTAAAATTAGAAGGTGTGACTTTCTAACTGACTGGGCTGTGAACGTTGATCACGTGAGGTCCAGAGGTCTGGAGTGGTTCACCACTCCTCGACACTTTCTGTGGGTTATCAGTTAGCCTCTGTCTTTAGTGGTTTGATCCAGCACAGGCCGTGAAAAACGGGAAGTGTGATGGGAATTTCCCTCAAAAGACGCTTGAAAAGAGGCTGAAAGAGGCTCCTGAGCCCTGAAAAAACAACCCGATTGCTTGTTTTTGCTTCTTTTCAGACAGAACCGAATCCGTCGGAATCAGGAACAAAGCTAATTCCACTGCGAGTGTCCTCCTCCTGACCTCATCGTGATACTAGTCAGGGCCCCCATTCTCCAGCCAGGTTTAGCCGCCCCTGACCCCCCTGGCCCCAAAGGTCGGCCGCTCGGAGTGTCGGCGGGTGAAAAAACCAGCAGCTGCCGCTCTGCTCTCCTCCCTTGATCTGTTTCCATCTCGCGGCGTTCCTCCCGCGTTTTCTCGCTCCCCCCCTCCTCGCCGATAAGGCTCGACCACAACAAGAGAGAGACGCAGACTGAGGTCCAGAGCCGGAGGAGGGCGGGCAGCGGCCAGAGCGGCGGGGCGTTGGCTGTCCGCGGGGATTTCCAGCTCCGGCTTTGGATTCTGCTGACTGCGGCCTGAGGAGAGGTCGAGCTAACTCCCCCCACCCCCCACAGCATGGCAACCACCAGCTCTCTGCCGTTTATTAATCTGTGTATTTGTGTCTTTTCCTGCAGCTTGCTCCGTCCAGCAGCTTTTCACGAGCAGATGCTGAGCACATCTGGCGCAGGATGCAGAGGAGCCCCCCCCCAGCGCCGCAGCAGCACAGGTGAGCAGAAGAACATGTCCCAGAGAGGTGGGAGATCTGTGACCTAAACCAGACACATATCTGGATGCTGTGGGGGGGGGAAATCCATATTCTTCCCTTCTCTCTGATAACTTTCCCCCTATGAATATTTTAGAGGTTCTTTTTCCTTCTCATGGGGCTCTTTCCTCTTTCAAGGCCTCAGAGAAGGTCTCCTTACATTCAGTCTCTTCATGTTTTGGCTTAAGGATTGTTTAGTACTGGTGCTGGTTGCTCTCATTCCATGAAGTTTTTACATGTTACTAAATATAAATCTATTTCTTACTTCGTCAGATGGACTCAGACTTTTGCTTTGCTTTCTTTCTATAAGGTGTGAAAACTATGTGGCTGTGAGCTTTTCTGTGTCTTATTTTTTTCTTTAAACACAGGAATCAAACACGTTTCTGGTAGTTTGGGTGAATGTGTCCTTTGCGTCTGATTTAATAGCTTAATGTGTCTTCACTCTCTTGTCTTCCTAAGAAAAAGCCTCACTTTGGTAGCTTAACCTCACGGGGCGACGCTGCTGCAAGCAGCTAAAATTAGCATAAATAAATCAAAGCAGGATTATTTTCGGCAACACGGAGGTGACTCGAGTGGTGGCTTAGACTTCCAAACTGTGTCTTGGAGTAAAAAAAAAAGGGAAAAAGGGGGCTATTTGTAAAATGCTTTGTGAATAGGAGAGGCCGGCCGTATGTAGCCATTTGACGGAGCAAAGCAAACGGTCGAGTGTGAGTTCCTCTCAGACGTGACGTGACCCAGACTCCCCCAGACCCCAGCAGCTGGGAGTCAGGGCTCTCAAGTTGCAGGCAACGGCCTGAGAAATGATTTACCGCTGAGTCCGAAAGAGCGTCACTTCTGTTGTCACTCTCAGCCATGTGGGGCGGGAGGGGGCAAGTTTCCATGGCTCTCAGAGGCCATGGGAAGCCTCTAAAAACAGTTCAGTTCACCATATACACACACACACACGTGTGGAGAGGAGGCCCAGCCGGCCGGCCGAAGTTTAATTCCTCCTGTTTGTGCGTTTGTAGGAGCGAAATCCCCTCGATGGAGGGTTTCAAAGGCCTCGGGTTTCACGAGGAGCTCCACTGGAAGGACGGCCAAGACTCTGAAGACCCCGGAGAGTACTGTTATGGTATGTGGGCTAACATTTATCAAGTTAGACGACCAAAACATCCCACCAAAGGGAGATTTTCAGGCATTTTTTCACAAACCCCCCTGTTAACATCTGGATTAATGCGTCTCGGCTCTTTGCTAAAAAGACCGGTCCGTTTCCCAGCCGTCACTCGGCGAGATGTTTTTACCATCATGGGTCATGAGATGCTTCTTCTTCACAACATCCATCCAATTCTAAATAGATCTTTTCCAACCACTAAAAGGAATTTCAGGCTTTCTCTCAGTTGACCGGGAAACGCAAAGGAAAACCTGCTCCCTGCTGTCGCCTGCTCATCCCCCAGCTGTGCACGTTAGCCCGCGCCTCTGCTACACAGTAATAAATAATACGCCCGCTCGTATCATGTTCTATTATGGGAGAAACTGAAGATCTGTGATGAGGTCCATAAAACGGTGCGGCGTGCCGGCTGATGGGAGCAGAATCAGGGTTATTCATCATTCCTCTGCGTCCCGCTGGCAGCTCTGAATGTGTTACTCACCGACAGACATGTTATAGCTTAGAGGAAGCTGGAATGCCAGAAAAATAGCTCCAGTGCTATGCCGAGTCCTCTTTCTTAGACTTCTGAACACATGGAGTGAAATCTGGTGAATGCATTTGGTGTTAAATCAAATTCCGTGCACGGGTTTAAAAGCACACGTAGTCCTTCGGTTAATCCTGTATTGTTTGCTTTCTGTGTCCTCAGGTGGGTACCACCCCGTCCGGGTTGGCGACACATTTAACAGAAGATACCAGGTGGTGTCTAAGCTCGGCTGGGGGTTTTTCTCCACCGTGTGGCTCTGCGTGGACTTAAAGTAGGACATAGATCATCTATCTCTCTAGTTTTGTCATTGTCACCCTTATTTGTAAATGGTGTTTAATGTTCTGTTCAATGCAATTCAGAGCCAAATCGCAGCAAATCTCATCCCAAATAACTTAAAACATTTCACAGAATGAATCCACTTCATTGTAATCCGTCCCAATGAAGCCGAATTGAATAAATTCAGGTCAAGTTCATGCAGAAAGTCATTTCAGAAAGCGTTTTCCAGCTCAGTAAACCTACAGAATTCACTTCAGTCCTGATTATGCAGTAGGTGACAGTGGGAGGGAAAAGCTCCCTTTGAACCGGAGGAAACCTCCATCAGAACCAGAACCAGGAAATGCAGCTATCCTTCTGGACTTCTGGGGGTTGAGAGGACAGAAAAGAGGCAAAAAGCATGAGACACCAGGCCTGAGACTCCTGCTGAATGAACCTAAAACCACAGAGAGGAGCCTAATACCGAAGGCTCTGCCTCACATTATTAATCCTAAATTCCCTCCACTTTGAAAACAGCTGCCTTTGGAGTGGACTTTTACACAGAGCCTGAACCCAGATGTGCTTCTCTGTGGTTCCTGCTTTCATTTAAATGCCATTTTTACTTGTGCTTGTGTCAAAAGAGCATGTTAAAGGTGGAACTGAGTGAGCTGTGTCATGTGTGGGATGAGGAAATGAACTATTAGCATGCAGGTTGTTTGTCCATGTCCACACAGCTGTGTCCTCATAGGTGTGCGTCTGGCCCCGTGCGTCCGCAGGTCGGGTCGGCGAGTGGCCGTGAAGGTGCTGAAGAGCGGCCCCGGCTTTGCTCAGGCTGGACAGGACGAGCTGGCTCTCCTACGCTGCGTACGTACTGGTGTTTTTCTCTCTCTGACGCTCACCGTTACACACCCACGCCTCCTGGGCCTGAACCCCGCCGTCTACTCTCCCCCTCTCTCCAGGCTGCCGGGGCCTCGGCCCGCCGCCCCTCCAGCCCCAGGGTCGTTCAGCTGCTGGACGAGTTCAAGCTGGCCGGGGTCAACGGTGTCCGTATCCTCCGGTTCCTTTTATTTTTGGTCTTGTCATTTCTCGGCCAAAGGGTTTTAACCCGACTCCAAACCCCAGGATTGGATCCGAGGATCCGGGGTTTTGCTTTGTGACACGGACCTCAATGCCTGTCGGTTAGACATGTGTCTGGTTCTGGAGCTGCTGGGACCCGACCTGAGGACCTGGCAGGTGTGCTTTGGGAATCCAGGGCTGCAGAGACCTTGGGTCAAGCAAATACTCACTCAGGCAAGTAGCTAAAGCCTCCAGGGTCATAGCGTAGATTTGAACCCTTAGACGTGGAAATAAACAGCCGTCTATTCATTTGTTTGCTCACAGGTTCTTCAGGGCCTGGACTACCTTCACACTCAGTGTAAAATCATCCACACCGACATCAAACCGGAGAATATCCTGATCTGTCTGGACGAGCAGTCCCTCAAACCAACAGCAGGGGCCAGCACGCCCCTCCCTTTGGACGCCAAGACCACAGGCACAGTTCTTTAGTTGTTTTTTTTTTTTTTTTTTTTTCCTTTTCTTGTTTCCACACACGCCGGAGAGGCTTTAAGGCAGCAGGCTCAGAGCCGGACGGTTTTACAGCTTCGCTGTGTGAGCCACCGCACCGAGTACATCAAATGTGTGCACAAAGCAGAAGCGCTCGGAGCCATTTTGAGAGATAATGTCAAGCTTTTAATAAACAAAGTCTCTGCTCTGCTCATACCTGAGGCATGCATTGTAAATACGCAGGGTTACGCTTTCCCGGTACTATAAAAGAGGAGGCACTTACAGAGAAAGACATGTAGAGGCAGAACGCAGTGTTCTGTGTACAAATTTATGGAAATATGAATATTTAGTATACCGTGAATTGGGGCCTGATGTCAATACTAATGTTAGAAATGTAATAATTTGGAGGAAAACCATGATGGTTATTCTCTTGTTGATATCAGTCAAACAAAAAACATAAAGGAAGAATAATTGTCTGATAGCAAATGTACCAGCCGACCTCCACCGAATCCTCATCCTTTCACGACCAAAGCCCCTCTGAGTGGCTCCAAAGGCCTTCCAGCTTTTCAGACTAAATAAACAGCCGCCCGTTACTTTGTCCTGCTCAGGGGGGGAGTTTGGCTCAGACGTGTGTGCGTCCCTAGCAATCGCAGAAAAGACGCTTTGATGATGATGATGATGATGATAATGATGATGATGATCATGTGCTGTGTTTCTTTCAGAGGGGGGGCGCATTAACCCTTACAGTTTAAAAGAGATTGCGGTGAAGATTGCCGACTTGGGGAGCTCCTGCTGGGTGGTGAGTGTTCCCGTCTTTTATTCAGTTCAGTGATACTTGATGAATCCCTAAAAGAGAAATGAAGAAAATACACCAGAAATCAGCCAACAAACATGTAGAAAGTTTAAGTGAAGCAGAGAGGAAGGTGTAAGGAGTCCTCGGAGGATGGCGTCACTGAGTTGGGATGTTGATTTTGTAGCTTAGCAACACTGATGATGTCACACAGTACGAACAAGAAACGCAGGTGAACTCCCAGAAAGCCACAGTGTAACATCTGGTGTGCAGATCTCCTCTTCCTCAGTGAAATGTCCAGGATTCCAGCATCCGTTGTCCACCAGCTCCATGGTCTTCCTCCTTTACTGTTAGCTTCTGTCTTCAGGCTCTGTCTGCTGACAGCCGATAGCTGATAGAGCTGTTCCTGCTGGCTCCCCCTCATCCCAGACATCTCCTCTTTAATTAATCTTCATTTGAGGACTTTTTCTAAGATCCACCAAGTCATAAACCTTCCCGTTGTCATTGTTACGCATCTCAACAGATGTTAAAACGAGGCACAGCTGGTGCTAAGCTGCTGCCTCCAGGGCGGCGCCATTCTTATAAAGAAGAGCTGGCTCCTTAGATAGTTTGTACACTCAGACTTTACCAACTAGTTTAGTCGAAAGTAAAAAAGAAACACGATAAAACAGGTTTTTAGCCTTTTAGGAGGGACCTGCACTTTTCATTAAAAAAGGTCAGAATTTGAGGCCCTGCTCTCCGTTTGTGTGTTGGACCAGTACAAGCATTTCTGCGAGGAGATCCAGACCCGTCAGTATCGCTCTCTGGAGGTTCTGTTGGGTTCTGAGTACGGCCCACCAGCTGACATCTGGAGCGTCGCCTGTATGGTGAGACACAAACTCAACCAAACCACATCTTTTTGAACAAGGAATCAAATGGAATAACCTAAAAGCTTTTTTCCTGTTAAGGCCAAGGTGTGTGAACTGTATTTTGTGGTCGTATAAATGATTTTTGTGAGATTAAAGTCAGATTCGGGCATCTCTGCAGATACCAAACATGATTCTATTTAAGGAACAGACCTGGCATCACATCCTGTGATGCATGTAGTTCATCAGATCAAAAGATAATTTATTTGTCATACATGGTACAGATGGCAGTGGCTGTTCAGTCGCAGTATGAATAAAACAAATTATATTAATAAAATGTATTTTTATAAAAAAACTGATTTAAAAATGTAAAAGCAGTAAACCTGGCTGCCTCCTGTTGTCGGTGGGGCTTAAATGTGATAAAACATATTTGTGCAGCCAGAAGTGAAGGAATGCCAACGCTTTGAGCATGAACGTGTTTGGAAATGTGGAAATCAAAGGACTTTCGGGGCTGCCCAGAAACCCTAAAGCACAGAACACAGAAATCACCCGTGTGCCAGTCAGGCATCTTTTTCTCTGGCTCCCTCCCACCTGTGACCTAAAGTGACCACGGACAGACTCATGGATGCTCCTCTGAATGCTCGCAGGCTTTTGAGCTGGTCACCGGAGACTCTCTGTTCCACCCCAAAGCCGGCGAGTCCATTTCCCTGGAGGAGGGTAGGCCTCTGTCCCGCCGAGTTAGATCCGTCTGCGTCCCTGTCTGTAGCCTTCAACGCTCGATCTGTGTTTCCTTTGTCTCAGACCACATCGCCCAGATCTCAGAGCTGCTGGGGAAGATCCCTCCGGCCGTGGCCCTGTCGGGGAAATACTCGGCCGACTACTTCAGCCGCAGAGGTGAGTCTGAAAACCGGCGCCCGGTCTCTGGTGGGAGCCGGCCAAACCCGAGTGGTCCCGCGCTGTCCTGCAGGCGAGCTGACCCGCGGCGGGCCGCTGGGGCTCTGGAGCCTCCACGACGTCCTGCTGGAGAAGTACGGCTTCCAGCTGGGGGAGGCCTCGGCCCTCGCCGACCTCCTCACCCGCATGCTGGACTACCAGCCGCACAGGCGCGCCACCGCCGCCGAGTGCCTGCGCCACCCCTGGCTGACCTCCGGCTGACCACCGGCCGACCTCCTGATGTTTCCAGCTGCGCAGCCTCAGCCGTTTCAGGGCGTCTCTGGACGTACGTTCTGACCCGGCAACTGCCTTTCACAGAAACTAGAGGCCTCAAGCACTGTAAGCCTTTGTGTTTGTTCCCCTTTGACGGTCAGACCTTCAGATCCAAAACGGAGCCGCGTTATCGCTCTGCGTTGCTTCTTTCCCAGCAGATCTTTGTGTGACAGCGAAACCCCGCTCGTGTTATCTTTTGTACGAACAAAAAGACTAAATAAACGGAGCGGTACATTTGGGAGGAAGCAAATGGGTTTCAATTTCTGATTCTTTTGCACGTCAGTTCAGGTCATAGTTAGGATTCTGACCAGTGTGACCGCTAGCTGAAGCCGTGCCGGTGTTGATCGGGCTCGTCCTGCCTCCTCGGAGCTGAGTTACATTAAATGTGGATGTCATCAGACGTGTGTTGGATGTATTTCCACAGAGGATTTGGGTCTGTGTCTGATTGGAGGAAATCTGACAGCTGCTTTCCCACTGGGACCTCAGCTTTTTGGTTTTAGCTCCCACTCAGGGAGCGGCCCACAGATAAACCAGAGGAACGCTGCCTGATAAGTCATGAAAGCGACTCCAGGAGGAGTCCGGACAGTTTTAAAGAGGTGAAAACATGAAATGTTCAGCAGGTGCTCCTGCGTGCGTTCAGCTCCCCTCCCTGTGAGGGAAAACGTGAGATTTGGGTCTCAAATCTGCAGAAAAGTTGGATTTTGGCCACTTTTGCCTGCAGTGTGACTGTGGCCTTTACTCTCTGGGAGCATCATTGAAGTCAGGCTGGTTTGTGGTCGAATGAAATAAGCTTCATTTTACTTCATTCAGAGGGTTGAATTTGTTCTTGCCGTATTCATTTCCTGTTGCATACTTTTCTTCTTGCGTCACATTTAATTTTAGCTTCCAAAATACTATTTTTTTCATCTTCCCGGGCAGCAACAACCCATACTGCCCTCACAGATATAAACAGATATCAGCAGCATAATGCAAAATCCTAAGGATTAAACCTGACAACCAGTTAAATGCAAAGGGAGAACTTTAGATATTTATTTTTTTATCAAAGTTTGAGCCTCAAAAGCATCATGTTACAAATCATGCCACAACATCAAAAGATACCATTAAAAAAAATCATGTTTGAATAAGACACAAGGAGTTAAAATAGAGTTGAAGGGTCAATGGGGCACAGGTGTAAAACAGGGTCCACAGCACAGCTTCTTTGTGAGTCTGTTTTAATGCACAAAAAGGACAAAGCGTGACTGGAAACAGTTTAATGCGTAGAATCAAATTTAATGGAGTAAAAAAAAAAAAGTACAGGTCTCTCAAAAACAAAGAGGAACAACAGTGGTTCATTGATTTAAATGATCCATAATAAGCTTACATGAACAATCTTAAGCCCAGAAAAAGCACACAGTGACTCTTTGGAACTGGACTCTGGAGAACTTTGGGTTTCTGTATTCACCTTTTCCTTCTCCAGCTGTGCCTCCTTCAAAGCCGGCGTGAATCCCATCCATCCACCTCTAAATGTTAATTCAACATATCGTATAAATGTGGAAACACTTTGTTTATGTTCAACCAGCTGCTAAATTGAACGCCCGGGGGTCCAAAGGCTTGGAGCACAGGTAACAGCAGCAGCTTTTCCTTCGGCCGCTGGCGTCCAGCGTCCGGCCACCGGTCTCACTCAGAGCCCTGAGGCTGCTCCTCCGTAAAAACACAGTCAAGCTAACGTCGTCCGGGATATTATGACCTCTCTGCAAAGTATTCCCCCCCCCCCCCCCCTCACCCGATCCAGCTGTAGGCGCGGCAGGCCACCAGAGGGTTTTCCCTGTAAACCACCGTGTCCCCGCACTCTGTCCGGAGCCGCCGGCACTTCCGGGGCCACGAGGTGGGCGCCATCCGCCTGCAGAGGGGGGGGAGGTTTTTGTTTTTTGAGCTCATGGTTTTTTTTTTCAATCCATGAGCTGAGAGCAGGGGGTGAGGAAGGACTCACGAGAAGCAGTAGAAGCCGAACCGGTGACAGAAGCAGCTGTCGCAGCCCCTCTGGAAGGACTCGCCCGGTTGGAAGGACTTCTCCCTGTACGAGCAGATTCCTGGAGGGGAGAAAAGGTGAGACAAACATCCCCACGGTCCTTCACGGCTTTTACAAAACGACGCGCACGGCCCTGGAAAGGCTCGACGGCCGTTATTTCAGGCCGTGGGAGCCTTGCGGAGGCTGTTTAAGACTGTCCGCTCAGCAAAAATGGATAAAGAACCACCGGGAGGGGCAGGGCCCATTAACAGATAACCCCCCCCCATGCCCATCCTCATGGGAATCGTCACCTTGAGAGTGGGATCGATAGCAACGTCTGATCTGCTGTGCAGAACCCCGATGGGCTGGGGGGGGAGGGTTTGCAAGGTCAGACATGGTAAAAAGTATGTGGTCAGCCATCCGAGTGATTAATGTGGAAAGCTGCAGGTGACTGGGTGGGTCTCGGTAATTGCGTGGGGGGGTATGGGGGGGCTCCTACCTTGTCTGTGGTACACCGAGGCCTCCGAGCATCCGCCGGTCAGCAGAAGGACGAGGGACGCGCAGAGGGCCAGCGCGGGCAGCGGGCAGCGCGGTCCGGCCATAGTGCAGCGAGGCCTCCACCTCCAGTACTGACCGCCCGGCAGCACACGCCTAATATTTATAGTCTCACGGACAACGTGGGGAGAAAAAGCGTCTCCACGTTGTTTGGTTTAAGTTTCGTGTCCGAGCGAGTTGTGTTTGGATTCTGGCTGCGCACCCGTGCGTTTCTAAATATCGCCTTGGCCCGATGGGCGCTACGGGTGTGATGGCCTCCGACCATCTGGAGCTGACCGGCTCCATTAATATGATCAGCATCCGGTTAAACAGACGCTGACCCTTCCAGTAAAAACTATTGTTATAGGTTTAAACCAAAGAAAAAACACTAACAGAGGCAAATCAAATCATCACAAAAAAATTTTAAAGGCACCGAAAAGGCAGTTTTCTGTGTGTTTTCTGTTTTAATGGGAGATATAATATAGATATAATATAATATATTTCTTTTCTGCTCATAAATCATGAGCTAAAGATCAATAATGCTGAGGCAGAGTGTCCCACCGAAACAACAAACACACAATCGGTTGTGTCAGAGTGAGTAGAAATGTTGGAGAAAGGCCGCTACAGTAAAAACACGCACACAGAGGCAGAGCTGACCGGCTCTGTGGTCAGTGGCTTCCTGCCTGAGAGGCTCGGGCAGGCCATGCTCTGACGGAGGAGAAAAAACAAACCCGGCACCGGGAGGAAACCACCACCATCCTCCACTTCCAACCGGTTTGGTTTGAAGCTGCACAGGAACTCTAAATTGCGGCCGTAGGTGGGACCAGTTCTCAAAGAAATGTGGGAGTCCAAACTTTGAGAGACTTTTAATTAACCTGGACCGTGATCCATCTCGCCTCCAACCACAGCTTCCTGACTCTGACCACATCTTTTCTACAAAATAATGTTGAGATGGGATAAACTTCTTGAACCTTTTTGTGTGGATCAGGCTGATAAAAGCGCTGACTGAGGTTCAGTCAGAGCCAGAGGTTTTTGGAGGTTTATATTTTCTTGTCTTCAGCATGTCGAGCAGATTGAACCTATGTTTGTGCTGCATAAAGCTGCAAATCCACTCCTAAACACTCATAATGCACAACCCGACACGCACATAACACGCTCGCTGCATGAATTGTGAATTCAAATTAAATTATTTTAGTTGGTTTTGTGCATATCTGTACTTATATTTAGTTGCCTTCTACAGTGGATAAGCAGGAGCTAAAAGCTGCCACATGGTTTACCAAAATAAGGACTTGTGCGGACCTGGTGAAGCTATGCTTCATTTCAACTGGACAAAAAAAAATCTCAAAGTATCTCCAAGAATGCCGGCAAATTTAGTTGAAAGTCCAAGCCAGAGGCGAAGTGACTGGACGAACGGTGACCGTGTGGCAGGCTGAGGTCATGGGAGCTCTGGCGAATGGGCGAGGCCGACTGTGGGTGGCTGTATGTGACCGGTTTGGGAGTGTGGGGGGTCCAGACCCAGAGGCATGGGACCACACAGGCGCTCGCCCCCCCCAAACGGATCCCCAACTTCCTGCTTTATGTGTGGAATATGAAGGAACGGTGGAAGGGTTGTTCAGCATCTCAAAGCTAAACGGTTTCCGGTTCAACTCTCTGGGGGGCTGGAGGGGTTGGGGGGGTCTTTCTTTCTCATTGGCCCTGTTAGGGAAACCCACAAAGTGGACCCAGGACCTGGGAACAGGGCTGATCTCTCAGCCGAGTTGGGTTAAAGTCACCTTAGAGGACCGGGGGGAGTTCGCTGGGGATCCTTGTTTGACCTTTGACCCCATGGCCTCATAGCAGATGCTGTCAGACACTACTGTTTGAAATATAAAGTAAAATGTTTTTTTTTACATCAATCCTGTTTTTATTATGTAATTAAAATGTAGTAAATAAGTCATTTGGACTGTCTGAACCAAATTGCAAAATCTTTCAATTAAATATATAAGCAAACATTTTAGATATAAAGATAAACCCACTGAGCCTATACGAAGAAAACCTACCTGTACCAGAACAGAGTCTACTTCTTAAACTACTAATCCCAGATATCTTGAAAAAGCAAAAATGGACACCAGATAAAAGCTGGGCTCTCGGGAGGTTAAAGGCAGTGAATCCACATCGGGATATTGTGCACCTTCCCGTTTCCCGTTGGGCAAACGCTCCGAACCCTGCTCTAACACGCAGTCTGTGTGGCACAGTTTAATAAATAACGTTTGTGGGTGAGCGTGGCGCTGGTTGAAACCAGCGGACCTCACAGAGGAGGAACCCACTGGCTGTGGATTCCCTCGTCACAGGCGGTCCGAGGCCGTGTTCGCCTCTGTGTACAGTGTCTCTGCCGGGATATTTCTGGCCGCGTGACTCACCCCCGGCGCCCCGGCAGACCTGGTCACTCGTGCTCGGCTGTTATCTCCAGAAATAGCGGCGTGTCAGACGGGAACTTTTATGCGCGGCGATGGACGGGGGCCTGGGGACGCCGCGTTTCCTCTGCCTAAAGCCGCACGACCGCGGTGTTTGCTGCACTAACGATCACTTCCTCTTAGTGCCTCCCAAGCTGTTTCAAAAGCAGGCAGTGGGAGCCAGGAGGAGGCTTTCTGCTGCACAGGGCACCTTCTTTATCTCCACTATCCCAGGGATCTCCTCTATGGCCGCTCTTGGTAGCCTTTCCCTCTTTGGCTGGAAGTGACTCACCATCCCACCATAACCACATACTTGCAAACAGGAGCCTGTTTTTCTCACCTTTATTGACGTTGTTTGCTGCTGTACCTCCCCGTTAGACATTTAAAGGACTAGATTAAATTCAGATGATAAAAATGCTTCCATAATGGGAGTCGATAAAGTGATTTAGCAGTTTTTTTTCCCTCTTTTGCTTCATTTGTAGATCTGATATTAGGATCGATGTGATGAGAAATCAGGCCAAAAATGTTTTCAAACCATGCTCTACATGGTTTGGTTTTTCTGCTTTGAGGTTTACTTGACTGGGGGTCGACATCCATCCTGAAAACTGTCTTCCCTGTGTTTGCTTTTTCCCACTTTTCTGCAGTACATTGGAAAAAACCAATAAAAAGTCTGTCAGTAAGATAGTCTGTGAGAAAAATAGA